TCCCGAACACCGGGCGGGCGCTCTATCCACTGAGCTACGAGAACTCATGGAGAGCAAGATCATTTAACTGGGCTCGTGTCATGTTGATTAGTTCACTTTTCACATTTCATTACCGAGCTTAAAAATTCACCATCTTTATTCACTTACAGTAATTAGACTATGTTAATTAGACTAATTTAATTTCACAGGAGACTGGAACTCTTAGCATTGGAAGATACTCTGGTGAACTTAAGGCGGGACAAATCTTCTCTGGAGGTAATATACTGGCAGTAAAAGTGGATCACACAGGAATCACTATTTATTACCTCCCTCACTGGTGGCTTGAGAATTCGTGAAACGCAGGAATGAAAAAGTATTCACTTATAAAAATAATCCCTTTATCTCCAAATATAAGCATGCCTTCAAGAGTCAAAACCAAACACATTTTGATGGAAACCTTAATATGAGGATTTAGTTTTGTGCACTGAAGCAATAACAGGAGTGTTTTAATGTGTTTAAAAGTATACCCCACGGTTATGATGTTAAATTGAAAAAGCCTGACAGTTTTTCAGCTAATTACAGTTGCATTCCCTTAAACAATTCAGTTAATATTGATCTTCATCTTGATGTTCTAAGAGCATTTTATGAAGGATTGAAGGTACTTGGTCAATTCACTCCTAACTCTTTGTTATTTTTCACTTAAGGTTCATCTGATGTGTTTTGCAACTTGCTCGGAGCCGAAGGAAAGGTAAATAGTTAGACACCGGAATTTTCGACAAAACAAAATTCTGCCTTTTCTATGTATTTTAGTGTCCTTGTTTGGGACTAGACGCAACGCTTCTTATCCACGAGAGGCACTGCATGACAACCCAAGTAATGGCTGCTGATGAGGCTATATTGTTTGTGTGTATTTTTTTTTCTTTTTCTCTCCTCGAAGCACTCTGCGATCTAACGATCTCACGTTGTTAGTTATGCCTCGAACGAAATGTAAGACATTGGGTGATCGGGCATTTGCCTATGCTGGGTCATCAATGTGGAACAAGCTTCCAAAGCCCATTCAGATGGCGTCAGACATTTACTCTTTTAAAAAACAACTGAAAACATATTTGTTCAGAGAAGCCTATAACATTCAGTGATAAATTTTATTACTTTTATCAATTTTTTATTTGTAATGCTACTTTTTATATTTTAAATTTTTATAAATATGTATATTTTATATTTTTGTATTTTAAAATGTAAAGCGCTTATGAATATTTTATATAATTAGCGCTATCTAAATTTAATTATTATCATTATTATTATTACTATTACTATTATTATTATTACTATTATTATTATTATCCTTATCCTTATCCTTATCATTATCATTATCATTATCATTATCATTATCATTATTATTTTATTGCAGGACATCCTGTACATTGGAGACCACATCTTTGGCGATATTCTTAAATCCAAGAAAAAGCAAGGGTGGAGGTAAGATGACGGACATTTCTTTTGTTCTTCCTCTTTGTTGTGATGTAAAATAGCGAGGGAGTGAAGAATGTTGAATGCGGTAAAAACTTTAATTAAAGGATTTACCTCGCTGAGATACGATTGGAAGCAGAAGTGGGAAGAGTGATGCTGTATAAAGTGGTGGCCTTTCGGAATTACAACAGCCAGGTATATTGTGCTATTAAAGCTGCTTTTTCTTTGTGATTTTCCAGAACGTATCTTGTGATTCCTAGCGTAAAAATGTTTTTTACTGCTTACGTTTTGTGTAGTTTGAGCTTAGTCAAGCTAAAAACTGAAGGACAAACGGTATAAACAGAAAACGTCATCGAAAAGTTACAAAACTCAAATCAAAATTCTCGTTAACCCTGGGTTAGCTTAATCGGGCTTTAAACAACCCGGCCCTGGACGAAGTTTATTTTCCAATCACAGTAGTATGTGCTGCATATCCAGTGGACTACTGTCACTTGAACAATATTAGATTTTCAGTTTTCAAGATGATGACCGCCCTTCAACTTCAAGTCTAACATTGAGTCATATTTAACTGAATATATAAGGTTGTGCCTCTTCCCTTCTTTGTCCGCTTAAAACTGGAAGAAAATAAAAATGATATGGTTTTGCGTGTTACGGTTCCTCTGTTGCTGAGGATGAATAACGTGTACTTGTTATTCCTTTTTAGATGTTTTTGAAAAGCTTCGTGATCTTGATGTCGCCTTAGCTGACACGTACAAGTAAGTGTAGGGGTTTATAGTCTAGTCTTGATTTAGTCCCTGGTGATGATTGCTCGTGGTATGGCATATAGATATTGGTTCCCACTTTACGCCCCTTGTCCTGTCCAGGCGAAAAGGGTGAAGTAACAGCTGGAAAATTGAGAATTAACTCGAATCCCACTGAAGTCAAAGAATTTTTCTCTAACTCGTGTGGTTCCCTATTTTCTTTCTGAAACTAATGCTCAGAACGAAATGCAGTGGTTGGCTTCCAGCACTCCAAATTACGTTTTTGTTGATTGTCTACTTTCCAGCTTCTAATATCTGTGTGGAGTAATATTGCACTCATAATTGTACCCTTGAAATAGCAGCCACGTCGTACGACCAGTTAAAGTGTGATAGACCTAAACGTTGCTTTCTATTCCTAGAAACTTGGACTCAGCCGCTACAGACAAACCAGATATCACTGAGATAAAAAACTCAATTAGGGTAAGTAAGCTCAGTGGTTGTTTTTGCGATAGTGCAGGCCTCCTTTGGCTCGTCACG